CGCAGTTATCCGTACAGAGAAAGAAGCCTCGTATCTCGCTTACAGTTTGGACCATATATTTTATAGTCTTCAGTGAAATCCAAGCAAACCATCCACACCAAAGCTTTATATGTACACAACAATCGCCTATTTCCTTCGAAGACGGGCGGTGACTTGTGATAAGAGTGATGTTAGACACATCAAAGTCTGCTTAGGCAACAGCACCACCAACAGTGACTAAGTAAAACAACAGCATCATCATCAATGGTGTGTGTGGATACTGAAAACTGTATGGTCTGTACATGTAAAGGAGAAAACGTGTGTATCAGACATACATATGAAGACAGTGTAAAGGGTCAAAAATATGTACTGGATTTTAAAATGGCGTTAAAACGTCTTTGGGGATATAGTACAGTTCATTGTTCTTTTTTTTTCTCTACTGGTCAATGTGTAATTTAAGAGCAACTGAAGAACAAGGACACTATTCATCATGATTATTTCACAGTGCTTCAGTTTTCAGTGTATTTCTATATGCTATGGTTACTTATGTATTTTTTGAGGATATTGTAATATCTTTTATATTGAAAGATACAAAGCTACCTGATGCTACAATAAGCATATGGTTGTGCCTTTTGTTGATTAGTGTATGAAGTCTTTTGTTAAGTATTTCCTATGTTGAGCAAACAGGAAAAAAAAACTGAGGCTGAGCTGGGTGAAGGCTAGAGTTTTCTGCCTCTTTGTTTCTATACAGGTACCGTGTTTGCTACTGGCCCAGGTTCCCCTGGGCCTGAGGCCATCAATGCATAATCTAGTGTATCAAAGTGAGCCCTCCCTGCTTAGTTTAATGTTGCGGCTGTACAACATTAAAATTAAATTCATTAAAGAGCAAAAAATAAAAAATCTGTGAAAATGCCACTACCTTGTCATTCTTTTCTCTGCATCTCATTATACATATAACTGGCCATTGTCACCATGTTTGGACAGTAATTAAATGAAAATAAAAGTGGGTAATCCTGAGAATACTTTGTACTGTGTTGGGAAGTGGTTCCCAGTAATCACACAACTTCCCTGCAGATCATTTTAACATATAACAGCTGCAACAATCTCAAATATAAGAGCCAAATATTCTTTTAAACAATGTTAACAACAAATTGTGGACATACACGCACAAACAGAGTAAAATGGTGCAGAGATGTCTATAGATAGATGGATAGATAGATAATCTTTTCTCTCCTGATCCAATCTGACTGATAAATCCAGTGACCTACATTTGAGCACTGGATTCCCTATCTAGTATGAAACCACTGCAACATTCATCCGCAGTTGCACAGCAGTGTATTTCTTCTCTAGGTAGCTACAACATGATGCATGCACAGGTAGGAAAGTCTATTTTTTAATAGGTCACGATGGTTTCCCCCATCGTCCTGTGATCAAACACAATATTAGCATATACTGCCGCAGAGCACAACATTCTGAGCATCATGATTGTGCATTATTCAGGCAAGGACTGCACAGCAGGACGATTAATATTCATGTAGTATAAAACCTCGGGTGGAATCACACAGCACATGAAAATAAGAGCAAAGCAGCTGCCTGTATTTCAAGACTGCTGCCTAAAATCTCAGTCTTGTATGAGTATGACTTTCAAAGCAGCATTTGGGAAGATGTGCGTCTTTCAAACATTTAAAATGTGAGGTTTGCTGGTCGGTTTCAGTACAGTTTCAGTGTGTGTGTGTGTGTGTGTGTGTGTGTGGTGAATATAGATACAGAGGAAAAGAGAGAGTAAAGACAAGACATGGAAAATGGATGGAAACTCATTCTGGGTTTCATATTGATTGTGGGAGTTGGCTGTGGTGATGGTGTTGATGAGGCTGTGCTACTGACATGACAGTAAAAAGAAGTGGTGTACTGTGTGAGATTTAAAGAGAGAAGAAAATGAAAACTTCCTTACCTACAGGATCGAAATGGGAGTTCCATTCAAGGAGTGCACCGAGAAAAGAAAGGAGAAAAAAGAAAACAGTTAGTGTGAATTCTAAAAATAAATTAATCAGATCTTGTAACACCATTTTACACTAATATGAATTACATACATATCCATGGTGAAATAAAGACTTAAATAATGGCTTGATCTTGTGACATATCAGACATCATGATAATGTGTTATTGCCCCTAATCAGTCACCACAAAGTCCTTCAGGAAAACTTCCCGGGGTTACTTTGAGCAAACTATGCCATCCATCAAATAGTGTGATGTCAGGTAGATGTCCAAAATCCATCAGTTGCATAAAGCTTTCTGTTTCTTGACTTACATAAGTTAGACTACTTTACCACATTGTTTGGAAAATACAAATATGATACTGTCAACAAAGCGAAAGCTTCAACCTGCTCAGCTCTGTTCTGCTCACTTCAGAACATTGTTAGCACACCAAAAATAGAGTCATGTTTTCCTTCTTAAATGGAGACTTCAGATGGTAACTCTGACTGTCAACTGGAAGAATGTGCCTTAGATGTGTTGAAATGCTGCATTACAAAGACAGCTGAGCTCTAATTTGACCCAACATTTTGAAATAACTCTTAAAATTAAAGTAAGTCTTTTTCTAAGTATTTAACTTACAGTATGCTTCCTTTATTCTTCAACCAGCCTAACCTACCAGCCCTTATCCTGTGATGGTATTATTTAGAAAAGTGTCATTTGAAGTCACATATCCTAATCAAATGACAGGTTATCATATTACAACTAAAGTAGAATGCAAGAATCATCTGCTTGGGTGACAACATGTAATCAAATTTAACAAAGTGCCAAGAAAATTGTCTCTGTGTTGCTAACACAAACAATGGGGGAAATAAGAATTCACACCTCAACAAATAATAAAGTAGAAAAACACGGGGAAAAAAAGTATAAACACACTAACCCAAATGTATTTAATATTTGGTGGAGAAGCCCTGTTTGCATTCTCAGCTTCAAGACACTTTCAATACACAGACCATAATCTCTCAGTGTGTTCAGATGGAATTTTGGCGTTTTGGATCATTGACATGCTGGAAGAAACACCTGCATCTTATTCTCATCGTCCTGATCACTCTTCACAAGAATTTTCCAGTGCAATGCTCCATTCTTCCTCCCTTTGATAATTTGAATTCTGCTGGTAGCATGAGAAGAGAAGCAGCTCCATACCATGATGCTTGTACCTCTGACTGTAGGTGTGATATTTTTAGGGTCACATGCATAGCAATTTCTCCTCCGAGCCTGGTGCATCATATTGTTGACAAAAAGCTTGTTTGAAGCTTGGTAAACAACATTTGGACAAGCCTGTAGATCAGTGGGAGAATGCAGTTTGGTCAGATGAGACACAAATTGAACCTCTCAGCAAATTGTGATGTGCCTTTTTTGGAGGAGAAAAAGCTCTGCCTGTGACGCTAAAATACCACAGTTTTGAGGTGGAAACATTACAGTATAAGGCTGCTTCTGAACTTGTAGTACCAGCAGAATTCAAATTATCAAAGGGTGGGAGAATGGTGCAATGCACTGGGAAATGCTTACAAAGACTCTGTTACAAAATAAATTTAGATCATGTGTGCAACACTGTTTGTCCCCTGCATCATTCCACTTTATTACACATAACTGTTTTACTGGATTGAAATGTTACAATGTATTTATCTGTGCAGTTTAATAGTAATGTCTGGTCAAAAAAAATTGCAAATAGCTAAATAGGAAATAAGTTCAATGATAAAAAATGTTGACGTGTTGAATATCTTTCCCCCACTGCACACAAAAGAAGTGCAGTTTAAAGGTGTCTCCGAAAAATTTGCACTTCTATAATTACATACATAATGTCTCAGCAGTTTTCCAACAATTCATCCTGTACTCTGCACAAGATGTTTCCATAAAAAAAACTTAAATCATCAGTATTGAATAACACTGAAAACTAGTGATGCTTGTGTTAATTAATGATTAGTCCTGCTGTTAGGCTGACACACTTTTCTACCATTCTCCAATAGTGTCAACCCTGCTGCTTAAAACAGAGTTCTTGTGACCCAGATACTATTAATAAACAAAAATTAGGCACTGCTTGTTTTTTTTCCTCCACCTACCATGTCTGAAATTAGGAGCACAAATTAGCCTGAAGCTGTAACGCGAAACAGGAACACACATGAATTCACATGGGAATGTTTTTGATGACAAAACCTCTCTGCTTCATAACCATGACACAGTCAGTAGCAGGCACACACACGCACATAAACTGAGGGAGAGAGAAAGACATTATGTAGCACAGAAGCACGCATAACATTTTAACAGTTGTATAAGACTCTAACCACTGACCTGACTGCAGCTCTAATGTATATAATTTACATTTAAAAAAATACGTTTGTTTTCTATTGTTCATGTGACTTTAAAGGTTCCTTGCTTTTGTACTTCTGATTTCTCTTTCGTTCTTACTATTGTCTGTCTGAAACTTTGCTGATGCTAAAGAGGCCTCAGGTGTGTCAAATTGATAGTCGATCAAAAAAAATAAATAATATATGGGTTAAGGGAAAGAGGGAATGCAAAGGGATGCAACAGCACAACTTAAAAACTTTTGAAAAGAATCATCCTGTCTTTTCCATCCAGTAAAATTATATTAAGCATTGTTCTATGGTTGGTATTGGAGCATTGCACTATGCCTACAAACTCAAATGCAACATCTTTCACATTCTACAATAAAATGGATATATGAGAAATGGCACTCTACTGAGCTGAATATTTCAAGTTAGCAGCAAAGTTATGGTTAAAAATCTTCACAACAATCTGCATCTACAGGCATTGTTTTGCATTAATTGTGTATGACTTGTAAGTGCATTGTAACACTGCTCTGTTCAGGTTTGTGGGTTTGTGGCTAAATGTAATGTACTTGTCTTGGTTTGGAGAAACTGCAATGCCAACATTTTCTTCAGCTACTGGGCTAAAAGAAGAAAGAGGATCTATAGAATGTTCATTTGAGTTTTATTTAACAGGAAGTGTCAAATACTTCTTCCTCAGCCTGAGGTGAGGCACACAGTACACTGTACATGCAAGTCTCTGTCAAAGTGCAAGTTTTATTTTTATTGTTAATTACAGTTTCCATGGATTTTTGTTATGATGACCGTCAGCTTTGGTTTCCATACAAATGTCCCTCATTCTTGTCTTGATCTTAACAAGTCTGTGCAAAAGGTCATTAGGTCACTGGAAAAGTTCTTCAAGTTTATTTTTCATCAGTATACACCCATAGTCTGTTTACATATTGTTCAATTCATAGTGCAAAGGTTTTATTGTGTCTCTGTCACACAACAAATCATGTGTTTTGTGGAAACACAACATGGCATTATCAAAACTTGGCTGCAGTGTAGTCCAAGTCAAAAAAGGACAATAAATAAAAGAGTGAAGGCCGTTTTTCACAAAAACATTAACAGAGGCAAAGACAAATATACCACGGACAAAGCAAAAAATTAATTCCTCGGCTGTATTATTCTCAGAATACCAGAAGATACAATGATAAATAGAGCAGTCAGAAAGGTCTACCATGCATTTCAAAATGAGAGAAGAGAGAGACAGATAGAAATAGATAGTGGGAGGGTGACAGAGGAAGATAATTAAGAGTCAGGTAAACAAAACAAGCCTGACCCAACCTGACAAATAGAAGACACAACTTTCTTCTGCAAACTGTTTCAAACTTTGATGAAAACAATAGCAAGGATGCGGATAGAAAAATCACTTATCTTATGTTACCATAGTAATATTTTCTAAAATACTCCAGAAGATAGACTATTTACATTTGGATTAGGATTATCATATTATCTATATTCAGGGTTAGGTGGTGGGGGATGAGGTTCAGGTTATTAGCAAAACTCCAAGAACATTACAGCACATTAAAGCATAGACAACATGTTTACGCACGAATAAAATTGTGACATATTTGGCAGTCAAAGGGTCCAATTTTAATTTAGGGATATTTTACAACAGTGACAGCTGTGTCAAAAATGTTATGGCCGACTCTCATTTAACCACGTAACACGGATGCGATGCACCGGCCCTCACCTTCAGAGTAGCTCTGTCCGCACTTGCGCGCCTTAACGTGTTTTTTTGATAAGCTGCGCTTCTTTGCTTCAGTGTATCAGTGTCTGTGCTGGACCCGAAACGGAAATCGCCTCTCCACGACCCTGTGGTCATGAAGGAATCATACCGCTCATCTTTTAGCAGGGTGCCACAGCGGCTTAAATCTGTAAAACTAGGGGGGCAGTAGGTCGTGGGGAAAACTGGTAGACTAGCGGTGGTTGAACGGTAAACGTAACTACGCCGGCAGAGCTTAAAGTAAAACACTCCGCTGAGTAAAAGGATGAAAAGAGAGGAAACAGCTATCAAAGCGATAATCAAATAAAACGTTAAGTCATCGCTCTCCTGTGGTTCATCTGTAAACTCAAAGAGCTCGTTTAAAACAGGCAGCCCGTCACCAATCACCACGCTGACCGTGGCGGTGGCGGACAGAGATTCGTGCCCGTTATCGGTTACTGAAACAACAACCGTTTGTTTCGGCTCATCGTCCTCCATGAATGCTCGCAAAGTTCTGATTTCTCCTGTATGCAGACCGACTATGAACAGGTTAGGCCGCGTTGCTTTGATTATTCTGTAGGACAGCCAGGCGTTATGGCCAGAGTCTGCGTCCACAGCTACCACCTTAGTAACCAGGTAACCACGAGGCGCTTCAATGGGCACCATATCCTCAGCTATGAACCCGGTGGTTTGGACAGGATATAGGACAACCGGTGCGTTGTCATTTTGGTCTTTAATAAAAGCGTTTACAGTGCAGGTGGTGGAGAGTGGAGGGTCGCCTCCATCTCGAGCTGTCACCTTAATTTGAAAGTGAACTGACTGTTCGTAATCAAAGAGGCGTGACGTGAAGAGCTCTCCTGTGTCTGCGTTGATGGTGAGGAAGGAGGACACTTCTGACTTTGTATCCTTTGATATTTGGTACAGTATTTTAGCATTAGAGCCGTCGTCAATGTCCTCTGCTGTCACTCTCATCACAAACGTGCCAACGGGCTGGTTTTCCAGGATGTTGGCATTGTACTCGCGCTGCGTAAACGTCGGAGGGTTATCATTAATGTCAGTGACCACGATTGTAATAACTTTTATACTAGAGAGTGGGGGAGAGCCCGCATCAGTGGCTGTGACTGTGATGTTATACTCGGGTTGAAGCTCACTGTCTAGTATTCCGTCAGTCACTAACATGTAATAGTTTTTGACCTCCGACACAAATTTAAATGGAACATTTTGTGGGATTGTACACGTGACGCGCCCACTGCTTCCAGTGTCCAGGTCATACATATTAATCAGAGCAACCATAGTTCCTGGTTTAGAGTCTTCAGCCACGTTAGCAGAGGCTGACTTTATTTCTATTATGGGCTTATTGTCATTTACGTCAATGACGTCAATTATAAGTTTACAGTGAGACGCCTGACCACCTCCATCTTTAGCCTGGACATCCAGTTCATGCGTACTGGCCTCTTCATAGTCAATAACACCTGCCACCCTAACTTCTCCACTCACAGGGTTAATTTCAATAACTCCCCCAGTCTTGTCTGACAAGTGACTGAAAGAGTAGGTTATCTCTCCATAAACACCCTCATCTGAGTCCGTGGCATTTAGCTTTGCTATGAGAGTCCCTATGGCCGAGTTCTCTGGTACAGAGGTTTTGTAGACTCGTTGGCTAAAAGCTGGAACGTTGTCATTGGCGTCCAAAACACGGATATGGATAGAAGCAGTTCCTGATCTGACCGGATTTCCCCCGTCAATTCCATTGATTTTCAGTACATGTTCAGCTTGCGCCTCCCGGTCCAAGGCCTTTTTAAGAACAAGTTCCGGATAAGCATTGCCGTTTATTTGGGTGCTCATTTCCAGTGCAAAATGGTCATTCGGGCTCAGTTTATATTCACGGACTGAGTTGGTTCCCAGATCGGGGTCATGCGCGCTTTCCAATGGAAAGCGCCTCCCAAGAACAGTGGATTCGACTAAATCTAGCCGTATCTCCTCTGCAGCGAACACTGGGCTGTTGTCATTTATATCTGCAATATCCAAAACTATGCTGTATGCTTGAAGGGGATCTTCGAGTAACAGCTGATACTGCAGGGTGCAGACAGTGGCTTGCGCGCAGAGCTCCTCTCGGTCTATCCGTTGGCTGATCAAAAGATTCCCTGACGCAGTGTCCAGTTCACACAGCTGACTAGTCCCTTCTGCAACAACACGGGCTCGACGAGCATCAAGCTCCGACACTTTCAGCCCCAGATCCCGTGCAACATTGCCGATAACCGACCCCCGCTGCATCTCCTCTGGAAGGATGTAACGGACTTCTCCAAACGAAGCACCAAAAATGAGGCAAAGCGATAAAAAATGCAGCCACCATTTTAAGTTTATTCGCTGGTCCATTATTAAACATGCTTTCAGAAGCGGATGTACTGTCGACATTGTGGCTAAATCCTAAACATATACATCCAAATATCGAGCTGAAAATCCAACTGTAATCCAACGGCTCCCTGCCTCTGTAGCTGAGTTAATCATGCTCTATTAGGGAAGCTGTCTGCTTGGATTCCTCTCTCTCTGTCCCCATTTCACAACTGCGCTCTCTCCTGCTCTCTCCCTCTCTCTCACACTTTCACTCTCACACACACACAGTCTCTCTCCTTCTCTCCCTCATACACTCCCACACACACACAAACAGCATGCATACACAGCCCTCGGCTCTAACCCAATACTCCAGTTCCACTGACACAGATAAGGTGAGACACGCCATAGCATCCATGAGTCAGACATTATAAAAGAGCGTCACCAAGAGACGGAGAGGATTATTACAACAGTGGACCATATGCTCTGAACCACATTTGCTGATATTTTTAACACCATTTTGTTGCACTGTGACCAAGATATGACCTACTTAATATTACACAAGATGAACATTCAAGTTCGAGGCAACAGGGGTTGGACAGGAAAAGCAACACCTGAATAATGCAATGCAACCCGGCACAATACCTCTGCTATGGATAGTATCTTTGCAAATGTTGCAATGCTTAGATTTAGTCGACAATTTATTTATCCCCGTAACAAGATGACTTAATCTGTCTGTTCCAATGCATTACACTGAATTTCAGCTGCATGACAGATGACAGTAGTATTCACACACATACTCCTAAAGGTCACCATACTCAACAGCAATAAGTAGGTCATGGAAACTATGAGTTTCTGGGATAAGCAATCCTCTAGGAGCTGAGGGCCTGTAGCATAGACTAGAATACACACAAAAAAAAAAGACCCAGCAGGGAGTTATTTTTCTGTGCTGCTGTGTAAGTTTAGCTGTTGATCCAGATCTTTAGTGCAATTACTTGAATTTGTTCTCTGTACATTAATCACAGTCTGGTCTGTGTCCAAACAGGGCAGGAGCAGGCCTGAGCAGACAGCTAAATCTGCAGAAAATATAACTGGTGCCAAAGTCCTAGTGTCCAGAACTTAAGCACCTCCCAAGTCAGGAAATTGTGCAAAAACATGCACATAATGTCCCACATAATCGGACTTTATACACCGTTGATGTACTCCTCAATCAATGCATGCACATAGAGTAACTTATTATTAACATGGTATTATAGAGCAGTGAGTGTTGCTCTTATTTATGTGTTTGATGAAGAGTCAACCATATATA